TTCCGCTATCGAGCTCTGCATAAGAAACGTTGCTAATCAAGCTGCATCTTTCCACTGATCAGCTGCAGGCGATCGAGAACCCACGCCCATGGAGCAACACTCAGTCGCAGCCACAGCTACATGCACGCACTGACAGCTCGTTAACTGGGCAAAAGCTCGTCAACCGGAACGCATTTTCTGCTTGTGGCTCGCTCGTTACCTTACATGCTCATAGATGTTGCTGCTCGTCCCCCAAAGCTCTACTCTATATAAATATACTGAATTTTCCTGACTGAATTTTGCATAACAACAGCAATACACGGTGGACTGGCTTGGAGGAGTGAATCGGCGCTCCAAACAATAACCCATGTTTGGCGATTTTCTCGAGCGAACAGCCTAAAGAATGCTTGCCTTATCCCGAGTGACTCTCTTGTTGGTACATGTATATATTGAATAACTTGTTGTGGCGACGCATGATGCTGTACTAAGCATAATATACTTATAATCGTTCGTCAAGGGTAATAAAACTCACCGTCTCAGTCGAGTCTTTAATCAAGAGTAGGCAGGGCTGATCATTCTGGCATGATGATGAGAATACCTGATTTTGCAAAGTGAGGGGAGATTCGGAATGCTCCTCTTGTGATTCTGTTGCGTCTTCCGTGAGTAGCGCTTCGCATCGACGGTACAGCGTTTTTAGACTAAATCCATGATACTCCGTACTGTATTTCAACGCAAGCTCAAGACCCTGAGCTCTCAAGGGGAGGGATTCAAAGAGCTACAAATAAAATTAGTGATTTCTAAGAAAATACTGGGATGCAGACGGCAAAAACAAAGATTTAAATACTGAAGTATCAAATTGCACGTCCTTTCTGTCTCCTACATGGCGTTGTTCCATTTTATTTTGCCTGATAGATTAAAATTTGCGAAAACTCCCATTAAAAATTTCAGAACATTAACTGACGAAAATACGTTTGTTTTCGATAAACTCATGTAAGGCCTTTACATTTATATATTAATTAACCAAATAAACCATGCGGGTTGATAAAAAACAAGTGCAATTTGAAGCTTGGTTTTCCACAAAAAATACGTGGAAAGGGCAGTATCTACATTTCATGAGTTTTGTGCCAATTCATTGGAAGCGAAATCTGGCACATACTCTCTTTCAACGAGCAAGGAAAATTGGCTCTAGTGAGGTCCTGCCCGCAGAACTTTCCCACATTAAAACAGTCCTACGTAACTGCGGCTATCCTGCATGCTTTATCCAGAAGTACAGAAATTCTCTAGGGCCAAAACTGATGGAACATTCAGTTTCAAAAGGTCCGTCATTATATCCTTACCCTTTAAGGGTGATGACATTTCAAATACAATCAAACGACGGCTGCGCTGTACTATAGAAAGGACCTACAATGCAGAAAAACTCGTCTTCTTAAGTCTAACCAAAACATTCCAGTAAAACGGGCAAAAGATACCTTGCCATTGCACGCCACCTCAAATCGTGTGTACGAATTCACATGTACTTGCGGATACAAGTACATTGGCCGCACGCAATGGCGACTGGTGGCAAGGGCCGCTGAACACTTGCCCAACTGGCTTTTCAAGCAAGAAGACAGAGTACCACGGTCCTCTATTACTAAAAATCTATTAGACAGCGGTCATTTTGCCGACATCAAACGAGCATTTTGAGTACTTGTTCGGGCCCGAACAATTCGCACCTTGCGCTAGATAGAAGCTACTTACATACGACGAGAGAAACTTGACCTATGCAAGCAGCTTGACCGCGTGGTCAACCTCCAAATACCCTGGTAATTGGTTACTTAATATTAATCCCCAAATGATTTTCGTTTAATTTCCCTCAATCTCCACCCCCTTTCCTTCCTATACGTTGATTTGTGCAGTGTCTTTTACCTGATCAATATTCAAACCGAACTATGACTCTTGCTGTTATGTCATCCATTCTGCGAAATTTCAAACGATCGCATGTTCTTTTCGTTATCATTCTCATGCAGCGACAAGATGCAGCTGATAAGCTGTCACGAAATTTATCGACGCCAATAAATCCTGCCGTATATGCGTGTTTTAAATAGTGCGATTGTCAGGGAAGATGGAGGGGGAATTGTCGTCATAAATCTGATCAGCGTTTGGGTGGGGACTGGTGGCCGAGCCAAGTGATAAACTGCGGGCTGTGGCCGAAGACCTCTATTCCACCAGCCCGCAGCCTATCACCTCTTCCGGCTGCCAGTCCCCCCCAAACGCTGATCAGAGTTTTGACCCCAATTCCCCCTCCACCTACCCTGACGGCCGCACTATTTTTCGACCAACCCACATAGTTTTTTAATTAATTACCTTTTTTAAATGCAACTTTTGAGAAGCTAGATAAGTATTATTTTGAACAGTTTAATCATGCAAAGTAATGAGAGTCTACCTCCGCGTAATTCTGCTTGTGCGTTAGGCATTCGTTTTTAGATGATTTTCGATTTATCTGAAAAAGCATCCACAGTGCTTGGCTGACACTAGAGTTTTGCCTTATACAGTTTGAAAGTGCCGAAGGAAGGAAAGAATTTCAGTGATGACTGTAAAATCCAATAACCGTTGTTTAATTTGTACGTAGACCGAATGGACGCTAAAATACCGAGATCTGTGAAAAATAGAAGAAGGAGACACTACCTTTTACACCAATAATTGCGTTACCTAGTTGTGCTGCCAACTAAATACTGACATATATCACTTTATTTATAATATGACAGCAATAACCAGCTTGTACATACTAGCGAGATGTTTGACACGACGAAGTTTTGTAAAATATTATGATTTAATATTTTGAAATAACGCCATATTTACGGAAAGACAAACTTGGCAGCATTTTATATTTCGATGAAAGTTTGAATTTTATTACAAAGGTTTTTAGCTTTCTCCTCTATTTGATAACGCGTGTAAAAAAGTTATAAGATTGTTATCCTAGCTGGCAGGCATAGGCTTAAATTCGTCCATGTCGAGTTATATGCTTGCACGTCTAATTGAGAGTAATCGCCGAGTTGGCGCCGAATAAGCCTTAACAGTTGTCTATTCTAGATGCTTACGCGAGGGCTGCAAGCAACAGTCAAGGAGGTAGATATTCGATTAGCAAGTTTAGCGATTTGTTGTCGGAAGTGGTGGCTACAGGTAGTCCGTCTTTCCCGGCCGACTGCAGGCTGCTCCAAGCCCCCTTATGACATTCATGTAGATTCTGCATGTTTGAAATACATACCTCGCTCACACCCCACCCGAAACCCCCCTCTACAAACCTGCCGAATTCGTTGTGCAAGCAGTGTGGGAAGCAAAGGTGTGACTAACATCCCGAGGAAAGTACAAACCGAGTCCTTGTACTTTTAGTGGCTTGATGACGACTTGCTGAAAGCAGATTATTTCCTATTGATTTTTGAGGTTCAGAACAACCGAGAATTATTGTAGCGCTCAAGAAGCGACGCTGAAATGGCGTGCAACTCTGCACTTGACCGATGGCATTTAGACACCCCCTGTTTAGAATTTGACAGGGAGGGCTACAGCTCACGAAAGCTCACGTGTATCTTATAGTAAGTCAGAAGTCGCTCTGCAATCAACAGTTTTCGGTGTAGACTACTCCGTGTGGCGGTATTATCCTGATCGCCATCGGTGTTCCCAGTGGTGAGAATCTAGCACTGACCTGGGTTCAAACTTCAAAGTCTGTAGCATATGGGATTAGGATAATGTTTGCTGATGGAAAGCAAACCAAACATGTGCATTACAGCATGTCTTTCTGTGACTATAGCACAACAATAAATTACAAATACGCCAGCTGAAGCCAGCTCTGATAGAAGACCAATCAGATTATTACACATCTTATTTAATGAAATATAAAATATCTGTGTTTGAAACTTCAAAATTCCTTCGAAATAGAAAGTGTAGCCAATTAGAAGTTGAATGCTGCATATTTCAATATTAATATTCCATCCTCTTTCATGAATTTTATTTCTAACATCAAACATAAGGTCGAAATAGGTACACTTAACTGTCAGCAATGTCAGTTGTGCGCAATGGGTGCTTTGCGCCAAGTTTCGGACGTCATATTAGGCAAATATGATTGATTCAGGGGCAAGCTAAGGAAAAATTTATTCGAAGGCATCTGTAAGCTGACGTCTACGCCTTTTCTCCTGGCAGATCAAAACAGAAGACCCACCAAATGTATGGCAGGCTCCAACATATACCGAAGATATCGAAAAAACGATTGGACGCACTGTCACGAAAATATTTTTTTGGAATTGCACATCGGTCAAAAGCTACCATGCGCAGCAGCTTCATAAAAGTAAAGGCCGACTAACTTCCAAGGAACAATCTGGGGTAATGTATCGTATGCGATGCCTTACTGTTCGTACAACTCTATTGATCAGACTGAACATAGACTCGAGTAGCACTTAGAGGAATCTAAGCGGGTTTTGCGACGGGGCAAGTTGCTACTCACATCTACGAAACGGCCATTGATCCAACTGCTCCGCTGTCAAGATAATCGTCCACAGTGGAAACAAAACGAGCCGACCACTGTTTGAAACTCGATAGTCGGATAAGAATCCAGTCAACTGATCGTCGATATGGCGTTGGCCCAGCGTAATCACCTCCAGGCTTGTTCCACTGGTTGCTGACTGATTCGCAATACCTGCAGCTATAACCTATTTTGGTTGGTAATATGAAATTCCAGGAAACACCCTCTAATGTGTTTGACCGCTCAAAAAATACAAACTGTTCCCCTGCTATATCAGCCTTCTTCGTTACTCATACAAACACCTACTCAACACTTTGCCTAAAATGATCTTCGTAATTATGAGTTTGTCACTAGTCTATATGCTGAACCGCGGGATATAAGTAACTTTTGTAACTGTGTACAGAAATGCTATGCTTGTCGCACTCTTTGTTAACCTTTTTTAACTACAGAGCGCAGTGTTATCCTTAGCTCTTAAATTTACTCTCATTGGGTGGCTGGTTAAGCGAGACGTTAGTATTTTAATTTTTCAAAATTCATTGGGCTGACACGTTAGTTGTTTTACCGCACGAGATAGTTGTAGCAAAGAGGTCGCAGGCATAAGATCTCTTCACCTATGAGACTTTAGAACTTGAGCAAAAGATTTGTTGTAAAAGCTTATAAATAAATAACCAAGGCAGTTCTATCCCTGCTTCGAATGAATGACTAATTATACACCTACCACACTCTTGCATCCAA